TTGAATTTCTATTTCGTTCACGTCTTAATGCCAAAATTTGTACAAGCTGTGCGCCCCGAGTAACTTCATGAGTGGGTCCTGGTTCGAAACGTTGTCGATTCCACTTGCGCATTTATACAAGAAAAAATAAATAAATAAATAGTGAATTTCATACCAAATGGATTTATTTATTTTTGCCATCTAGTTCCTTTCATGAATTCTATAAATTATTTGATTTTTACTTTTACTCTGAGTAAATATTTATGAATATATGTACATGTATAAATATTTAGATGATAGATGAATTTGAGGAAATCAGTATATAATAAGATAAATAGAATTGGTTCATATTTTTGGTTATTATTTATAATTAACAAGTAAACAAGTATGTGTAGTTTGGTTAGTTTTTATAGGTTGGTTGCAGTGGCAGACCATTGGATAACTTCCATGTACCTCAATTAGCGATTTTTCGCAGTTATGCTACCACATTCCACGCAAGAATCCTAGTATAGAAGAATAGAGTCTTCATCCATCCCGCCGAATTAAGTTATTTTAATAGGTCTTTCGTCTTCACCGCTAAACAGTCTGATAAACTATCAAAGCAGTATCTTTCTAAGAACCTATATCATCTGGACGCCAAAGCAGGGCATTCACAGAAAAAATTTATTATTGTGAGTGATTACTTTTGCAGTGAGGATTTTGGGGAATGTGCAGTTTCTCAGCTTGGGTTACTATACAACAATGACCAGTAATGAACTACAGTAAGCATTGCAGTGTTTACGTGGTCTCTTTGATGAGTTTCGAGAATCTATTTTTATTGTAGATGGGTCAGTTTTTACAAACAGTACATTTTTTTTAATTTTACTTATATGTACACAGATTATGTTTTTCACTATCTATAAAATAGATTGTACCTTCTGATAAAAAAAGAACGAAAGGCCTATTTTTGGATTCCCGCGCTTATTCAATCGGTAAATAGTATTTTTTGTTTGTCTATACAAAAAGTAGAAAATTCAAGTAAAAAATTCAAAATTAAAGTTCTTTTTTGATCACAAGGTATATGTACCATAGCCCATATCCACCATTCAAACATCTTTAAGCCCATGTTATGCAGAAAGTCTTGGGTCGTCAAAATTAAAATTGATGTTGAGCACCTGACAATACTCGAAACAGTGTTGTATGGTTAGTCAAACTTCAATAAATTAACTAAAAATTTTTGTGGTTGTCTTTTCATTCCTATTCGAAACCTTCTAAAGTTTTTGTTGTTTTCAGTGAAAATTATAAAATGAAGAGTAAGAGAAAAAACAAAATATCAGCTTAAATTTGTTCATGAAAGACGAGGTTATCTGTGACTTATCTCTTAGTCAAAGCAGCATTGTTCAATAATAAATATCAACATTTGTGTCGTTTAATAGCAAATTATTATAATTATTACAATTTTTCTGACATTCTGCATAACATGTATTTTCATTATAACCTATAAGAACTAGTTTTAACAAGCTCATCTCTTTGCATAACGTTTTAGAAAACTTTGAACTTATTAGAACATTCTCAAGACAATGTTTTAATTGAATGACTCTTATTACTCGGATGGTATTCATTTGATTGATACATGAGCGTTAGATTCTTAGGCTGACTAGCAATTACCTTATATGTTGATTGAGAAGGTCAATTAAATTTCTGTTATTTGACAGCTTGATCTGTATTTCATTTCTCTCTTAGCGTAGAATATAGCACGTCCATTACTACAATTGCCAAGAACAAGGGTTTTAAGAACAATACTATCAATATTTATAGAATGGAATAGCCATTATTTACAATATTATAACTTATAGATATAGTTTTCAACTTTGATATTCCACCTAGCGTTTTATAGTAAGATAAATAATGTTGATGAAGGTAAAAGAATTACAAATAAATCAAAAAAAAACTAAAAAGTAAAAATGGTTTGCTAAGCATATTTCGAAATGTACACAGATGAATTAAATCTTCAAGACTTGCATTAAAAACCCATAATTTGTCCAAGATCGTGTTCTCGAAAATTTCCAATAAACGGCTGTCATTATAAGTATTTTACCATGACAAGTTCCAATGTCAGCTATTCATAATTAAATGCAGGTTACGAACAAAGCTTAGTATCATCATTGTTTTAATCATACAACCAGGAGGATCAGTTTAAAATAAAACATTTTTTTTAACAAAATGGCTTTACGAATTCTATTAATAAAATGATTATCTGGGTATTAGCCTATATAAAATAATCATATGTTAAAATACGTTTTTTATATTAATTTAAATTTTATCTCAATTTCAGGTGATCTTTTCATACTAGTCTTCAGTATGGACTCACGAGAATCATTTGAAGAAGTTGTACGTTTGCGTGAAAATATTTTAGAAACAAAATGGGCTGCCCTTAATCCAGGCTCGGGTTTGAAGAAGAAAAGTCTACCAAAGATACCAATGATTTTAGCTGGCAATAAATGCGATCGTGATATTAAGTAAGTACAAATAGAATATTTAAAATAATAGTTACATATATTTAATAAGTAAAATATTTTATAAATAATTTCTAAGAACCGTACACCTAGACGAGGTTATGGGCTATATAGCGGGACAAGACAATTGTTGTGTATTTGTCGAATGTTCAGCACGTCAAAATTTTCGTATCGATGATTTATTTTATGCACTTTTCATGGTATCGAATTTACCATTGGAAATGGCACCAAATCATCATAGACGTGTTATATCTGTTTTCGGTGCACCCTCTCCACTACCACCACATTCATCAGCTGGTGGATCTAAAAAAAATGCACTCTCTATTAAAAGACGTTTTAGCGATGCTTGTGGTGTTGTGACGCCAAATGCACGTAGGCCCAGTATACGCACAGATCTAAATTTGATGCGATCGAAGACAATGGCTATGAACGAAGGTGAAGGTGCGGGCGCTACGCGGCGTAAACTCTGTGTGATCATGTAAAACAAAATTAATATATAAAAAAATGTATTATCGAATAATTAATATATGTGGCGTATGTGTAGTAAATATAAGCAAAGGCGGCATGTGATAGTAGCAAAAATAACTTATTTAAAATTTTTATATTTCAAAACGTTTATTAAAATTGTTTATATGAAATATTTTTATAAATAAAATCAATATCAATAATTTACTTAATTTACGAAAACAAAAAATAGTTATTTTGTTGCGAGTAGTTACATTTTTTATACATATTTACAAACATAATCGTACATAATATATTATAAATATAAATAATAGATGTGTATATAACATAAAATTAAATTTACTTCATTATAGTTATTGAATAAAGAAAAAAATTTAAAAATACTTGAAATGAATGAAAATGCTTTGATGTGTTAATAAATTTTGTTATTTTCCAAATGGTTAAACAGAATTTTTTAACATAAAGAATTAAATAAAAAAAAAGTAAGTTAAAAACATTTAGTATCAAAATATTTTATAATTGAAATCGATTGCATTTCAATGCATTTTTTATAAATTAAAAATAAAGTTAAATGTGCATTTTACATATTTTGCAGAAACCAATGTTTTGTAAAGTTTTTTAAATTTTTTTAAATTTTTTAATACCTTAAAAAAATTCTAATCAGTTCGATATTAAAATTATGCATTTTTGACTATGAATATCAAATTTTAATTTTTTTTATTTATTTTTTTATTTAATTTTAGTTAGTAGACACATATCCAATACATCTAACAAATATATATAAATTATCTGGGAACGGGTTTAGATTTTGTTAAAATTTTTTTTTTATATATCGTTTGGACTTTAAAATCCAATATTCTTTGTACGTCTTTTACAGTCGGGTTTTTCGAACTGTTCTACTGTCCATTACTGGTGTCCAACATTAATAAAATCTGATATAAAAATATTAAGACATTACAAATATTGTACTTTCTTTTTTAATGTTATTAGTTTTTGGGAAAATATCGGAGCGAGATCTGAAAAAATATACTAAATAAAAATAATTTTAAAATACTTTGAATTTTATTTCCGGTCTATAGAATTTCTTTGAGTTTAGAACAGATAACTGCAATGAGTACTCAACATTTAAATCATGCTTAAAGCATTGGCTGTATTTCACTTATAAGCATTTTAATTCTCATTTTCATATATTCGACTTCACCTGGTTTATATACAGCTAACAGCACTTATAAAGATAATCATATGATACTCATAAATACCGATACTGTGACACTGATTCATGTGGCGAATGCCAGTACCTATAAGTAGTGTATAAGAAAAACATTTATACTCATTTATACTTGATTTTTATGAGTGCACTCTAAGTGTTAAGATTATGACTCGTTGTTATTCGCTGGTTCAGAAACATCTTATTGTACTAGAAGGTAACGTACTCTTCGATGAGTTCTTCATAAATGAATGACAATAGTTCGGTATTAACTTTACAAATGTTCCTCTCCAAAGATTTGAGAATTAGAGAGCTATTCAAATAAGCATGACAACCATGATCTGATGATGATAAGTCGCATGATGACCCATCACATCATCAAAGCATGAAAACAAATGTCGAGATAATTTCTCGTGCATATTGATATATACACTTTATCACATTCATACAATCAATTTTACGAGAAAAAAAAATTGGACTTATTTGATTGGAGTGAGTAGATTTTACAATTTGAAGTTATCAAAAAACAGGATCTATTTCTGCATATGCCACACAATACGGAGACGGTTTGTGGATGAAATGATATTCTCTAGTTCTGTGTGAGTTTTCATTCTTTGTTTAGTCATCCACTAGCGAAAAATTAATCTTGTTTTTGAACAAAATTGCTTCCTTGTAGTGAAATGTATCCACTACAGGATCACGACTGTGAATTAAGTTTCTACAATTTTAATGTACTCAGAAGGTATTAAACGATTAATATTATAAAATATTAAATCTTATTTAACTGAATCAACTTAGTTTAGGTTAGGTTCGGAAGGCGCGTGCTGACCGTTTTCAGCACTTCCACTCGGAGGCATTTGTAATCCGTTTTAAACCCTTTGGTTTTCCAGATGAAGTTGAGGAGATCCGATAAGTTTGCTTTCGTTATCTCTTCCAAGTCAGTGAAAAAGCGATCCCCGAGATATTGAAGTCGCTTTGTCTGAAGTCCTAGACAGAGACAGAGGAAGTGGTTGATATATTCTACCTCTACCTCCTCTTCATCTTGGCAACTCCTGCATAATCCGCTTGTTGGAATTCGCCACCGTTGGAGCATAGGTTGAATCAACTTTACCGTAGTTTTATTTTAAAAATGGCAATAAAACACTGCCATCAATTCACGAGTATGAAATGGATAATTCTTTAATTATAATATATAATATGTTTTAATTCTTTCCAGTTCATTTATTTTCTTGATTCGTCAGGGAGTATAATGCTGACTCATGTTATTCGTAGCAATATATTATTTAGAAATTTAAAGATTGCTTAACTATTTAAAAACCTGAATCAACATATCCCTTTAAAATTAAAAATCATTAGTTTGAATTTGTTGAGGATTCGTCGGTCACATATATGTATATAAAAACATTTAACAACTTATCATAACAAATCTGTACGAATCTCTTATATATTCCTTAACTTTTTAAATTATAAAGATTATTTAAAGACGATTATTTAAAGACCTTTAAAGACTATTCGGTGACTATTTTCTGAAATACAATAAAACCATTTAGATATTAACCAATCAGTTTAACTGTTTCATATCATTTATAAATATTGATTTTCCAGTGCTCAAACGCCTTGGACCACATATGTAATTTTATCATCTCTTTTTGTTTATGGACATATCAGGTTTAAACAATTTTGACATTCAAATTTCCGAAACAAAAGCGGGAGAACCTATATTTTACTACGTAATCAAATTTACTCAAATTAATTTATTTTACTCCTTTTTACAAGAGGTATATATTGTTTAACATATATAATACTTTTGCAGTCATATATGCTCAATTTTGTGGCTGTATTTAATCCATATTACAAGTAAATTTTCAATATTTCTGATGACCTGATAGAAGTTTATTGAAAATAAGCATTGTCAACTAAATGTTTGCAATATACAATCTATTAACTAAAACGAATCATATCAGAAAATAAATGTTATCATATTTTAGTTAAATAAAGAAGAAACGTATATATTTTTTATTGTTTGTTAAGTTATTACAATTATATTAAATAAATAAATAAAGCATACATAAATAAAGAATATATATAATAATTTTGCATAAATTATTTATTTGTTTCTGTAATATTTATATTAAAATATGTATTATAATTTACAAACCCTGATCCAATATGCGATTATTTACAATAAAATAAAAATGAGTAATATACATAAATTCGAATACCATATTTATATTATTCTACTTTCTAATTTTAAATCTCGTACCAAATTCTTATTAATTATCCCAACAAAAAAAAAATTAAATACATAATATACATAAATATCATATTTATATTTTTACCCTCTCTAACTTTAAATGCTGTACCAAATTATAACTCTTCATTCCAAACAATATAATTTTTATTAAAATAATAAAATAATGGTTTCCCATAGTTTACTACTTCGACCAAATTGACCAAATGTTTATATAAATATCTGTAACTATTATATACATATATACATATATATATATGTAACTAACTGACTGTATGCTTTATGCTTATATAAATAATCTACATGTATTATTAACAATAATATATAAGCAGTTCCTAAACAAATCCAAATCAATTAAAATTCTTATTTATATTTTTAAATAATTTAATTTATTTTGTTAATACAAAAATGAGTAAAATGTATATAATTTCATATTATTTATATAATATTATTAATTTGATATAATGTATTAAAAATATATATCACTCTATGTTATACAATTCAACTAACAATATAACTAATACTTAACCACCAATACTATAAATTACTGTAAGCATATCTAAAAGACCCGCCTGGAACCAAATATTTTAAATCTAAATAAATATTTTAATATCAATATAAAGAAGTGCACATATATACAATATAACACCTAAAGATTATTTATCTATTCTTAACTGAACAATACTGTGTATATTTCCCTATAAATAAACTAAATAATTTATTAATTGTATTATAAATTGTACTATAACATAAGTATTTACATTATATATATATTATTTATATATGACATCTGTTGAAAGCAATTAATTTAATTTTGTTGCTAATATCTTTAAATATTTCATTTAAAATAAAAATCTTATTCATATTTTACTATAAAAGATATATGAATAGATAAAATATGTTTCGTTCAAAAATAGATCGAAAGTATGTTCACCACACACAAAATTAATTTTTTACACCTACTGTGGGTTGGACTCCTTTTTAGTCTGAGTTTAATATTTTAAAATCAGTTATTAAAGGTATTCATGATCTCAACTAAATTGCTTGGTAGTCGAGTAACGATCTATACTATTATTTAAAGAACGCGTCAGCTGAGTAACTAGTTTACTAATCAAACTAGCTTACTACAAGTTCAGTATTAAAGCAAAGAGCTCGACAACCTAATAATAAACTAGGTAATCACTTCGATACATAAGTGACTAGCACGGTATTTGAGTAACGAGTCCAAAAAACGAGTAACGAGTTTAGAAACTAATTAACGAGCATTTTGAAATGAACAACTGAGTAACTAGTTTACTAACCAAGATACAAGTTTGGTAATCAAATAATAAGCTTGATTATAACCTCGTAACTTTGTAATCGAGTAACGAGTTTAGATATCGAGTAACGAGCAATTGAGTAACTATTTTGGTGACTGAGTAATGACTTTTCTAACCATGCAACGAGTTTGCTACCTAAGCAATCAAATAGCCAGCCAAATAATGAGCTCGGTGACTGAGTAACCAGCGTTTAGGCAACGAGTTCGATTACTAAGTAACTAGTTCAGGAACCAAGTAACGTGCTCAGTAAGCCAGTTTTCGTTCAATAGCTAAATAGTGAAGGTAGGAAGATTTTAAGGCATTACGAACCAAATGAATTCGAATATATG